GTCCAGCCGGGCTTGCAGGAGGACAGGGCAGTGTGGGACATCCTGGCCACTCACACAGCCCCAGCGGCCCGGGCAGGAAAGTGTTGGAGCCCCTGGAATAGAGATGCCAGCTGTCCTGGGCTCCGAGGAGGCTGGGGACCCGCAAAGCGCTCCCTCGGCTGGCTGCGGCAACATCCCCCACTAGTTATCTGCTGTGAAGTCTCGGCTCCCCCAGTCCTCGGATGCAGCAGTACAGAATGATGAAGTCACACCTGCCCAGCCCGCACTGAGCAGAAAGGGGCCATTTTCTCCTCTTTCATTCCATTTCCATGCAGGCGCCAGCGACATTGATTTTTTTCCCCTTTCAGTGTTTTTTTTCTGGCTGCAGCCAAATGAGGTCAGAAGTTAAATTAGTCCTTGGAGGTAAGAGGCAGCTGCATTCATATCCCCTCCACCGACTTGCTGGAGAGCCCTGACAGGTCCCTTTTCTCTTCTTTACAGATTCGCTCCCGGAGGGGCTGGGAAGATCTGATCCGCCTGTGGAACCCCTGGGGCAAAACTGAGTGGAGAGGCCGCTGGAAAGATGGGTACGGCTTCTGGAAACTTCTCTCTGTCCTCCAGGGACCCCGTGTGCAGAGGGCCCCTCCCCCAGGGGGGGGGACACCTGTCTCCCCTGTGGTGGGTGGCTCTGCAGGTCTGACCAGTTCACACCCCTGTGTGGCTGTCGGTTCTCCCATTCCTAGGCTGCTGTCCACCCAGTACCCAGCAGACACCTACTGTGTACTCTCTGTACTAAGTGCACGGCCTTAAGTGGGTGCTGTGAGATATATACAGATACATGGTAAGCCCAGTGCCTGCCATCCAGAAGTTTATAGTCCAGAGCTGTGAACCACAGCAGAATTAGGAAAAAATAACAGGAAGCACCAAGTAATAATAAGAGGGAGCCAAGTTCTGCTTGGCAGAGAGAGATGGGAAGCAGGAACCGCAAACGTAGAGGGAGTCCATGGGAATCTTTTGATCCAGGGGTGCCGTGGCATTATGTTGGGACAACTGAGGCCAAGCGCTGTAAGACATTTTCATGCGGCACTTCAGAGTCACCTGTGCTGTCCACAGAGGGGGACTCCCAGGTGTGACCAGTGCCTGGGCTGACACCTCCTCAGAGCAGGTTGGGGACACCTAACAGAGGGGACACCGCTGTGTGGTCAGTGGTTCCCAGGGAACTGGCTTGGCATTGACCAGCCTCCAGGAGGACTGACGCCTGGTTCTCAGCCCCTTGCTGGCTGAGAATGGGATCTCGGTCCTGAGGGGACAGAGGACAGCGACAGGTCCCTTCGCCTGCCTCTGAGTGCCTGTGTGGAACCACCAAAAGTGTCAAGAGACCAGGCCTGGCCACAGCCGCATACTGGGTGTGGGGGGCCAGAAGTGGAACATGACCCAAAAGAGATTCAAGGCAGAGACAAACAGGAAGACGGGCCCCAGGAAGCATGACGCCAGTGCAGTGAAGCGTGAGTTCTGGCAGGGGATGCAGGGTTGGCCAGCAGCCTGATTCTGGCCACCCAGACCTGACCTGATGGCCCAGGCAGACTGCGGCAGGGACCCTCTGACCCCCTGTGAACCCCACCGCTGATCGGGGCCTGGCTGAAGTGGGCCTCGGCAAGGTGTGATGAATGTCCTCTTAGGGTGGAGATTAGGAAATCAAGGGAGAAGGAAGAAAGGGAACCCGGGTGTCACTTCAGATGCCCCTAAGAACATGACAGCCAAATCTCTTTCTCAGAAGGGGAATAAACTTGCAAAACCATGAACCGCTGGGCCATGAGCCAAACTGCTGCTGGTTTCCCTTTATCCTGCCTCTGTCTTCTTTCCAGGAGTATCTTTTGCTCTTTCCAGTGCATATCTTAATAACCTCTGGCTTCTTCCAGCGCTCCATCCCGAGAAGTACCCCCAAACTGGCAAACATGACTAGGGGAAAATACAATTAGCTAAAAATCCCTGTTCCAAGTCTTGCTCCTGCGAGCAGCAGTGAAGAGAGGTCAAAGTTGGTGCCACGTGCCCGTTGGCTAGGAGGAGAGGCTTGGATTCAGGCGTCGGTGCTCTGCCCACACCCCCATGCTAAATACCACCCGACCAGGGAAGGCAGGTGGGGGCACAGGTGTCAGGAGAAAAAGCTGGCCATGGCTGGCATGTTCAGAGAAAGCTTCCTGGATGGGGCTGAACCTGAGTTCAACCTCCAGAAGAAATGAGCAGGTAGGTGGGAAGTGTGTGCCTGAGCTGGGAACTCTGTAGAGACCCAGGGTCAGCAAGCAGCCCGAGGAAGGAGCCTGGAGGAAGTGCAGGGAGTTTGCCCAGGGAGCTGGTGCCAGCCTGGGACTCAGATTCATATCGGCCAGCTGGGGGGTCACAAAGGCCTTGCACAGGAACAGATGTGAGCAGGTCAAACAGGAGTTGCAGCTGGCGCCCCCACTCTGTGGGAACATGTACTCTGGGGGCTGTAGGTTGAGGGGCACATTGTCCCCCAGAAACCAAAGGAAGCCCCGGGGGCCCCTAACCAGCGCCTCCACGGAGGTGATCAAATCCCTCTGTCCTTTTTAATGAGTAGAGATGAATGGAGAGAGCTGGATGTCTAATCTCTGCCATAATTGAAATTTCAGTCTCACACACTTAAAGGCAAACTTGCATGAATCGATAGCATATTGATTTACACTACATTTATTTTCCCTTACACACTGCAGAAAATGTAATTATCACTTAATTATAAAATTGCCATTTTACAATAACACATCTGACAGGCTCAGCCTGCAGCTGGAAGCTAGAGGGGTGGGCCCTCCTTTGCTCGCAGGGACAGTGGTGACCCAGCGCCCGGAGGCAAGTCACTTCCAGAGAAAGATCTCATTATGTTTTGTGCCCTGGACTCCTTGGCAAGGAGCGAGCTTCTACTGTGAGAGGGTGAAGTTTCCCCTCTGCCTGGGGAGTCTCCGCTTCACCGTGGACCCTGGGACTAGCTTCTAGATTACATCATCCTATCGCATGGGGTTGCCTTAATGAACTAAGCAAGCAAAACAGCATATTCATGCACCCTGTGTGTGAAGGTGTTGCCTTAAAGCCCTGTGATATCGTGGTCAGGGAAACCCTTAAGCTCTTGGAGTCCAGTGAGGCAGTAACAGGGACCCTAAGCCCAGACAAGGAAGGGGCAGGAGTCGAGTCGTGGGGGCTCCAAGGTGGAGTGAGGGTACGATGGGGGAGCCAGCAAGGTTTCCCAGAGGAAGTGACTTTTAGGAGCAAACTGAGTGCAAGTTACTGCGTTATAGGATGAAGGGAGAAGTGTTCCAGGCAGAGGGAGCATCGTGCTGAGCATCAAGGGCAGGGAGGCGGGTATGTAGGAGATGGAGACATTCTTTACGACCTGGAATCCAAGGACACAGGGAGGAGGGGAAGTAGGGAGCCACTCAGATCAAGTTGGAGAGCATGACAGAGACCCAGGTTCAATTTCAGGAGTTTGGACATCACTTGAGAGTAAAAGGAGGCCCATGGTGTTTCTAGGCAGGAAAATGCCAGAAACAGATTTCTGTTTTAGAGACGTCATTCCGATGGCAGTGTGGACAACAGAGAGGAAAGTAGTGGGAGGTAGACCAGGAGGTGAGTGTGAGCGAAGTGATCCTGAACCAGGATGTCAGCAGTGGGAGAGAAGTATGTAGATGACTTTAAGACAGGCTGGAGAGGCAGAATTGATAAATCACAATTTGTTTGGTGGTAATTTGGATGTGGGGAGGTAATGAGAAAGAATGACGACTCCTGCTCTCTTTCGGCGACAGGAGGAGAGGATGGGCAGTTAGGGACAGGCTGATATTAAGGTCACTGTTCGGACATGAGATGGGTGGTAGCGAGTACCCATCAAGAGCTTGGGCAAGAGAATTGGGCTGGGGATAGGGTCTGGAAGTCATCAGAACACAGAGACCAATGAAGCTGTCCGCTTGCAACACAGGTACTAAATTAGGCCCCATGCAGAGGGCCTGTGGGCCACGTGTGGTCGAGTTGAAATGCCCTGAGAAGTCTCACTGTCATTGTCTCTATCCATGCTCAGGTCTCTGGAGTGGAAGGAAATGCAAGACCATCGGAAAAACCTGCTACATGACAATAAGGAAGATGGCGAGTTTTGGTATTTGTCCTTTTCGGAAATGCTATTTGAAATCTTTAACTATTGCCCCAATCCTCAATCCCTATCCCCTTCCCTAAACTCCTATGATAGTAGAGATTCACTGTGTAGAGACCTGGTCTCTGCGAGACACAGAAGCTCTGGCTGGCGAATGACTTTTTTGTGCTCTCTCTCTTTCTGGGATGGTTGGCACCAGCACTTTGAAATGAAGTTTCCTAGAGGTCAGGGTGCATGTTTGCCAGACCTGTGTTTTCTATGCATCATGTTGGGGCTCTGGAACTCTGCAGCTTCGCCTGGCATGAATTCCTAAAGACCAACTTGATTCGATTCTAGATTCTAGATTTCCACTCTAGATGTCTGGGAGCTGTGCCATCAGCTGACCACTCTGTGAGACTAGATATTTTGAAAGCGCACATCTGTACACATCATAAAGGTGGAAGATGGACATTCCTCTGAAGGATGGACTGGCCTAGACAGTGCCATAGTCAAATAAATGCAACAGATATGGAGGGCGGCTATTTCTAAGGAACGAAGGATCAGACAGACAAATGTGAATTAAAAGGAAAACCACTTCTGCTGTCTGTACTTTATAAGGGTGCGCTGATACTTATACTTTAATCACAGCACAAGGTGGGATATCGGGTATTGAATTCACTGGATTCGTAACAATGGACTTGACAGAAGACCCCAGGGGAGGGGGCTTTTCCTGGCAGCAGTGGGTAGGGCCCATATCACAGGTCAGGGATCATCCTGCTGAGCTCCAGAGGACTTTCAATTTTATCTGTGAGTTGAAGAGACAGTGGTAGGCGATAAGGCCCCTGCCAGGTGACATACAGGTCCCACCATCGACGCTGCCCTCGTCCTCCCCAGTGGGAAGCATATGACAGTGAGTGGACCCGAATGAGGCTCTGGTCTTTGGGTAGCCCATGGTCAGTCAAGGATACTGTCCCAGATGGGCAAAGTTTGCGTACATTGATGGGATTCCCTCTCCCTGCACCAGGGATAAAGCCAATGATGTGTATCTGTTTATTACAGGATGTCATGTCAAGATTTCCAAGAGAATTTCTCTTGCCTGTTTATATGCAATCAAGTTCCGATCAGCCTGGCCCATGGACATATGGCCTGTGAAAGATGGTCTCAAATGGCATTTAAGGACCGCGTGATTCCAGGAACTTCTGCAGGTAGTAATGACCTGGGTGGTTGTTCTGCCCATTGGCCGGAAGCATATTGGAGAGCGCTTGCCAGACTAGATTTTGGTTCATTCATGGACATGAACTCCCTCCAGGGCAGAGGGCTCTGGGCTCACACGCAGGAGGGTGCTGCTCAGGGAGGTGAATCAGGGAGTTAGCAGCCAAGCAGTAACTCGGTGTTTCCTTAGTGTCTGAGCTAACCGAACTTACACATTGGGACCATTTTTAATAATGCCCTACAAGGGCAAGGAGGGCTGCCAGAGAACAGGCACCTATTAGGTGCTGCTTTGTGCTCCTTGGTGCATCGTCTTGCCCAGTCCTCAAAAAGCCACGTGGTCCCCTAAGTCTCCCCCCACACACCTTTTGGGGCTCCCCAGCTGGTAGCCCAGCCTCTGGCACGTATCAGTTCTATCTTGATCTACTTTGTTCATACATTTGAACACAACAGTTTCCATGAGTTCTTTCTTGATCCAGCACCAATAAATCACCCTTTTCCCATCTCCACCAGCACCTGGGGGCTCAAGGTCACGTCCTGGGACTGTCACCAGTGCCTACCTGGGTTCACTCGTTTTTTATAGGAGTAGTCGTCGACCTTATAGCTTAAGAAACATTCTCATCAAGTGGGAGTCAGCTCCCCTCCCTGATTTGAGGAGGTGGAGTCTGAGGCGCGCCAAATAAAGCAGCTAGCTCCATCACTCTCAGTGGGGCCTAGGATGCAGGCCTCAGGTCTCCAAGTACAGCAGTTCAGAACAGCCCCCCAGGCCTCTCTGGACCACACCAGCCCCACGTGGGAGACCCTGAGTGGGCCTGAGGGACCCTCATAACAGCCCTTTCTCATGCAGAAGGACTGCAGAAGAACGTGCAATACATCTTCTCTGTGCCAGACAATGCGCAAAGCAACAACGTCGTTGTGTCCTTCACTATCATGCCACGGGACTTCAAAACAGAAGAGGAGAAATTTCCGCTTAGCTTTGAAGTGTTCAAGGTAAGAAGCCAGCTCGGGGCTGGCCTGGTCAGAATATGTGTGCATCCTTGGCAGGGAGAACAGGCGGCAGGGGAGGGGGTCACTGGACCACAGTAGAGACAATCCTCCGGCTTGACACTCAGAGTCTGGAGAGTTCCTCTGGCAACTCTGAGAAGGAGAGGTGAGCCTGCACCCAGTGTCGGGGCCCCGCCTTCTCTGTCAGCATTTTTTGTATGCTGCAGGCTACCATGCTTCTCACTCAGAAAGGTGGTCTGGTCTTAGGCCAGCTGTACGCAGGCAGGGTCTGGGGCCTGCCCAAACCATGTGAATCTGAATCGCCGTGGGCAGAGCCTGCAAATCTACATCGTGATGAGCAGCCCCGGGCTGCTCGAGCTCATGCATGTTGGAGAATATTTAGCTAAACTTTGGGAGAGTTTAAGGAAATACCGTCCTGGGTGGAAGCCAAGGCACGTCAGTGCTCTCACGTTAGGCCAAAGTCCCGGCCCAGCTTGGTGGTTGCTCGCAAGCATCTGTTGGGTCACTGCTTAAGTTTTCTTCTCCCCTAGACTCTGCTCCCCTTTCATGCAAGTTCAAACCGGCTTTTCTTTTCTTTTTAATATTTATTTATTTATGTATATAGAATTGGGGTACAGGCAGAGGTGCAGGGGGGTGAAAAGATTCACCAGAGACAAAGTGGGGAGCAGAGCAAGTGGATCGACGAAGTGCACTGCTGAGGAGAGTAGCGGGCAGGTCAGGAGAGGTCTGCCGCACCATGGGCTGGGTTGAAACTCACACTGCAGTGGCTTTAGCTTCGTAGTACTGTGCTCTAACCTGCTGCGCCACCAGGGAGAGCCCCAAACCGGCCTTTCAGCTTAAGAGGCTGTCTCCCCACCCCACACCTCACATACCCCAAGTGCAAGTAATCAGGGAATTGAGTTCTTATATTAGAGAAGAAAATCTGAAACCTCTGCTTTCTCCTCCCTTCCCCCATAATTTAATGCACCCCAAATGGTTCTTAGACCATATACCCCATAGTCTTTCCACACAGACTTGAATAACTGAGGTGATGTAACCATCAATGCTGGGCCTCCCCTCTCCTCACGTCAGAGCTGAAGGAACATGCAGTGAGGCCAAGTGACATGGTCAGAGGTGGTGGCAGAGCTGGGGTCTGTGCTCCAGATGTCCCCCCAGTCTTCAGTCAAACACACCCAGCATCTCTGTGCTGGAGTTTGGCTGCAGAATGTCTAGGAATGACCTCAGTTTCTAATCGCTGAGACAAGGCAACCTTCACAGCCAGGGCTTAGCCGACTTAGGGGCAGGCAGCGCTCTGAGGTCTTCTGCACACAGAGAGCTGTGCCATATCCCCTCTGTGCTCACTCTGAGGAGAAGGCATGGGTGGTACAGACCCAAACAGCATTTCAGAGTCACAAGAGGATTGACAGTCCCTGCCTCAAAGCCCCTAACCTCCCGCACTTTCACTGAGGTGAAGCCAAAGTTCACAGAACATGAAGGGCCTTCCCCGGGGTGCAGCAGGAATGATGGGGACCAGAGCATCTGGCCCAGGGTTCATTGCCAGGCTTACGTGCGGGCCTTTCTGGTTCTGTGGCTTCTCCAGAAATGCTGGCTCTGGCTCTAGAAGAGCCCTTTGGGTTCTGCTCTCCTGAGCATGTTACTACTCCTAATTGCATGAGTTTAAAAGCAGAAAGAAATTTGGGGGTGCGGTTAGCACAATACATTTTGAGGTGCCTCAATGCTGTGAGACTATCAAAGAATAACCCTGAAGGCAGTGTGCCCACCAATACCGTGTGAGCCCCAAGACTTCTGAGAGACTTTCTCTGGGCACAGCACCCCTCTCCTCCACTGTAGTGGAGGAACCCAGCTGTCTCCAAGCTGCCTAGACTGACCCTTGATGTTTAAGGTGATCCAGATGCAGGGAGCCCGAGGAAATCTTCCCTTTAAGCCAAGTGGGCAGATGAGTAAAGAATGCATCTCTGGGCCCTCCCTGGTGGCACAGCAGGTTAAAGCACTGCACTAAGAAGCTAAAGCCACTTCTGCATGAGTTCGATTCCCGCCTGCCCCGGAGGAGACCACATGGCCTGGCAGACCTCTCCTGACCCACCCGCGGCTCCCCTCAGCAGTGTACTTCATCCATCTGCCTGTTCTGCTCCCCACTCTGTCTCTGGTGAAGCCTCTCACCGCCCCTGCACCTCTGGCCTGTGCCCCAGTTCTGTATGCACAAATAAATAAATCTTAAAAAAAAAATAGAATGTATCTCTGTCTGAAAAATAAAGAAATGGGCTTGACAGCACTTAGAAATATGGAGATGATTACAACCTTGCCGGGGCTCCTGAACTCTAGAGACCGTGGATAAATGAGTTACTGCAAGGCCGCTGGGCTCTGGGGTGCCAGATTCGCGACAAGGTGAATAGCACCCTGAGGACTTGTCCCTCCAGGAGACCCTCTCTGCAGTGGTCTCTCATCAGGAAAAGGAAGACGTGGCCAGGATATTGAGTAGTCTTGTCTGATGAACCAGAGGTGTCTGTTCCTTCCCAGCCAGCCCAGTGCTTGTTCTCATGTCTGTTTCAGAGGTGAGAATTGGGGAGCTCTTAAAAGCCACCTGAATCAATTGGGACTTGGGGCAAGAAATAAGGGTAATCACCCCAGAGTATGGTAAACAGAGCTCATTTGGGGTGGGGGGGGCTAGCTCACAGAGGCAGTGAGGGAAGCCCAGAGAATGCATCTTAGAAGGTGGGGAGACCCATGAGCCGGCTACCCCACTGGACATCACCCCTGGGTCTGGACATCACCCCTGGGTCTGGACATCACCCTTGGGTCTGCCTTAATTGCTGTACTAGATCCAGAGATTTGCTGGGGAAATCCCTTGATTTACTTACCTCCTTTACTTACTTTGCCAAGAGTCAAGGCCAAGCGTGACTGAGTGTCAGTGTGGGTGAGGGGAGCATCGAGTTGGACAAGCCTGGCTCCCACATCTACTCCTCTGTGGGGAGAGGGAACGTTCATCCCTGTTGCTGCTCTGGTGGGGGTCTCGGCTCTGCCTTCCACGACCACCACCACCACAGCCCTCCTAGTGGCAAGGTGTTCAGGTGCTTGGTGGTAATGAACATGACAACTATGTACTGTGCTCTGGCCCTTGGGTGCACCTATGACTCCCCAATACTTTGCCAGCACCGCTCTCTCCACCTAGCATCAAGTGCAGACAGCAGGGAGAGGCAGGAGAGAGACAAGGACACGCCAGGTCACCTCACCCCCCAGACCTCCCCAGGGCTGAGCTCTCCCCCTCTGCCTCTGCAGAATCCTCCCTTGGGGTTTGGGGGGCAGTGCCTGCTGGCACTGTGTCTTAATTACAAAGAAAGCCACTTAGACAGCTGAGCCTTGGTTTCCTTTTTTCTTTTTTAAAGACTTATTTACTTATGCATAGAGAAATGAGGTACAGGCCAGAGGTGCAGGGCAGCAAGAGGGTTCACCAGCATCAGAATGGGGAGCAGCAGGCAGTCAGGAGAGGTCTGCCGCGCCCTGTGGGTCAGCTCCGGCGTGGGGGTTGAACTCGCAGTGAAGCAGCCACAGCTTGGCTTAGCTTCTCAGTGCAGCGTTCTCTGTGCCACCAGGGAGGGCCCTGAGCCTCAGTTTCCACGCCTACAAAATAGGGAGCCAGCTGTCGGCTTGCAGGATTCTAGTAACAAAACCCCACCCATGAACAGAAACACTAGGCAGGACACGGGATTGCAGCCTCGGCTCTTCCTTCTGTCATGGAGCCAGAGACATCGCTCATTGAGCAGCACAGCCATGTTCCCCCCAAGAGGGGTGCGGTGGGCCTGTTCTGAGGGACAGGGAGTTTGCTTCTCATTGGAGCACCTGTGTCAGGGACTAGGCGCCGGACCTGGGTGCTGTCCTCCCTGCAGGCCTGTCACTCTCCTCTCCAGAATCTCATCAGTGCCTTGAGGGCAGCTACGCCTGGCTGGCTTGACTCGGGGCGTCTCCACCTCTCAGCTTCTCCCCGACCGATGCCCCCCTCCAGCTTTTCCAGCAGGCTAGCTGTCTGCTTCACAGCCCTGCAGAGAAAGTGAGAAAACTTTCGACCTGTTGGCCCGCGCTGAGCCAGGGTGCAGGGCCGACAGAGGATGGGGCTCGGGGCCCTGCGCGGGCTGCTGCACTCCGCCTGCCTGTGTTTTGGTTTGACTTCCTCAACCTGCTTTTCTTCCTCCTCCCACAGGTGGACTCTCAGGTACGGCTCACAGTCTCATGGGCACAGTCGGTGAAGTTGCCTCTTCCAAGTCCGAGGGCTTCGAGTTCAGGCCTGCATGTCCTGTAACTGATACAAGCTTAGACCTTCCAAGCAGACCCCGGGTCTAAAGGGGTCTGGAGGTGGGGTCCTGTGGACTCGACACGAACCCTCTGGTCTGGTATTCAAGAGGGCTGCAACCCTGATAGCATCCTCAAGTATTGGTTCCTGATGGGTAAGGTGGGCACAGCTACTTCCCACTGACTTAGGATGAGAGGCAGGGCTAATGGCCGTACTCGGGGGAATCATCAGCCTCTGTGCATGGTGGTCGTGGCATTTGTTCATCTGATGCTGGGTCCTCAGAACTGGCCCAGAGCCCCCTTTCCCCAACACATACTCACCCTTCCCACTGCCTTGGAGCATGTCGGTCCTGAAGGATTGGGAACCAGACAGGGCTGCCCAGATGCAATGGAGGGAAGAGGGGAAGAGGGCGGGAGAGCAGGGGAGCAGGAAACACATCTTCTGGACTGTAGGAGGCATAACACCCACACACCCCTGCACATGCACTGCCTTCCCATGCACTCACACACTTACCCCCAAGCCACAGGCCAGGGCTGACTCTGGAGAAGAGCCCACCTCTTCCAGCCAGCCAGGCTCCAGCACACTGGGGCTGCTGTTAGCACCAGGGTCACTCTGGAGGTCCCACCCAGCCCTGCTGCTCTGAAGTGCCTCTCTCCTGTCTCATCTTGTCGCCCAGCCCTTCCCCCACCCCCTAAAACAAAACTCTCCCCGTCCCTGCTCTCCCCAAGGCAGAGCTCACAAATAATCATTTCACACTATGTAACCATTCTAAATGGAATCCCCATGCTTGACTGTATTGGGGAAAATTTATTTAGTAAGGGGTTTTTATTATGTAATATGTATGTGACATCCAGTAATAGGAACTGCATTATATTTATTGTTTTATCTCTAAGAAAATATTGAAATAAAAGGAAAATGATCAGGGCCTATTATTCTCCAATGAGAAAGAATTTCAGACTCTGCTGGGAAGATGAGCTGGAGGCGCGGAAAGGGGCTGAGCCTTGTGTGTCCCTGAAATGTCAGAGAAGAAGGGACCGACCGTAGCATCTCCAGAAATACCCCCACCAGTTTTCCTGGAAGTCTTCTCTATAGACAAGCAGTGACAGAAACCCAGACACCAAGATGCTGTTGAATCGCTGAGATAAAACTGCAGGTCCCATTTATTTGCCTCGGTTGTTTTTTTTTTTTTTTTTTTTTTTTTGGCATCTCCATTAATTAACATTCAAACCCCATCACATTTTGAGAGTTCAGGTGAGCGCTGCCTTCTTTTTAGAGGCCTGTCATGTCATTCTGATAGATGCAGAGAGGTCTGGAAGTTTGTGGGTGTCTGTGGTGGCGGGGGCTCGTGAATACAGCAGGGGTGATTTCTTACCATTATTATGTTCTTTTAGTTTCAGCACTTTCAGGAGAAATTGCCATCTACATTTTTTTCCCAATTCAGAAGTGGTGTAAAGGCTATAGTGTCTAAAACCAAGTGCAACCTCACCAAACACTTCACTCTGCCCTCTGGGACCTACGTAGTGGCCGCCTCTGCCCGCAAAGAAGCAATTGAGTTCTTGGCCCGCATCTTCCTGAAAATGCCAGACTGTGACAGGTACAGAGCCTCGGAGATTCTGGATGTTTCATTCTATGTAACTGTACAAAAACACATTGCAACCGATGCCAGCGGGCCCAAGGCGTTTAAGCTTACCGTAAAGGGGAGGGGGTGGCGAAAAAGCTGTGTGTCCACCACTCGCTCACGAACAGGATGGGGTCCCTGCTAGAGGGAAAGGCAGCATGGCATGCGTGGGGAGGAGGTGGGGAGGGAAGGACCCACTTTTGGCAAGAAGTGCAGAGGGAGCCTTCCTGGGGGAGATGGCATTGAGTGAGCTCTCGATGGAAGACCTAATGCTTCAAAGGGCAGGCAAGGCAGGTAGAAGAGAAAGCATGAGAGGAAGTGGGGAAGTGGTTGAGCATGGTGGCTGTACATAGAGGAAGCCAATCAAGGGCTTGCCAGCAATTATCTGCAATGTGGCCAGAATGTGGGATTCATCAATGAGGGAGCGCGCCTAACTGTGGAGGGTGTTCATGCGAAGTCAATGGCCATGGTCTACAAACGCAGACCTTGGTGGGCACCTTATCCCTCTTCCTCCAAGGCATCCTATAACCATGGCAGTGTCTGCATTTGAGTGTGGATGAGACCCTCTTGGTTATGCATACCTGGCAGCCTCTGTGCCACCAGTCAGAGTTGGAACCCATGACAAAGCTGGTGGTCCAGTGGCACACATGTGTATCTGGTTATGAAAGGGATCATTTACTAAGTGGTTTGTAGACCAGAGTACACCTGTTGGCTCCTTGGCTTCCCACTTCAGCCTGCCTTGCTACCAATGTCCAGGCCCCCAGGGTCCCTCTGTAGGCCCCCTCCTTTGAATAGTGAGTTGTTCATCCTTGTCACACTGTTTCCCTGATTTTCTAGGCAGCCAGACGGCAATTTGAGTTTCAAACAAATGAAGGTAGGTGTGTGTGCGGTTGGCTGTCAGGGTCACCAACCATACCCCATCCCCAAGAGCCTCTGTCTTCCTTCTCTCTTGCCTCTTCACTGACCGTCGACAACAGAGACACCACAATATGCTCGTAATGGGTGGCTCAAAGGGGTAGCATTAGGGAAGAAGACAAGGCCTCCAAGGCCATGCTGGACCAACCAGCTTCCAAAAGCTGCAGTTTCCCTACTCAGTGCCCCCAATGGCTACATGGAGCCTCTGTCCAGACCCAGGGGGAGGCTCTGGTATCCTGATGCACCACCAGGTGGCCCCAGAAATTTGATGTTGGTGTTCTCCCTTTGATCCAGGCAAGTATTCCAGAAGATGACTGGGAGGAGGACATTTTCTACAGATATGCTCAGCAGGTACAGGACTTGGAAATGACTGTCCTATGGCAGACAGGTGAAGGGGGACGGTTCTATGGCAGACAGGTGAAGGGGGAAACGGGTTTGGAAAGTGCTCCAGGTTCTGACTGGGTCACACGCAGGAAAAGCGACTTGATAGGTCATTTTATCAACCTCTCTTCCTGGATGTCTCCAGATCTGATCTGGCTACCAGACCAGGAAGGAGGTAGCTCCTCACTCAGGTAACATCTGGGGTTGAATGTAGAGCTTAGAAAGGAGGGGGCTAATCGTGTACTTTCTAAACTTCAAACAAGCAACTGGCACTACTACTTGAAATCATCCCTTCTCCCACTCTGCTGCCTGCCACCAACCTTGGCATCATTTCTCCCAGGAGCTGGCCAACTCCAGAAAGTGCTTTCATTGCCAAACCACCTATATGCACAGAGGATTTTCTTAATGGTTTAATAAACCGTTATGAAGACCTGTCAGGGTAAGAATAGTTGCCCAGGGCTCTGCACAATGGTTCTTTTACCATGAATATTAGGTCTAGTGTGGCAAGTGAGAGCAACAGAGATTATGGTGTGTATGGGTCAGAATAGGCCATGCAGAAGTCAAGGACAAGGACACCAGGCATCCAGAGGGTTAATGGGGCAGTGGCAATCAGGAAGAAGCCCAAGGGGACTTGATACAGGCAGACTGGGTCCAGAGGAAAAGCAAGAACACAGAATGAGGCTGTCATGAGGAGCTTAGAGTGGGTTGGAATCAATGTCAGCCAGGATTCAGGCACACTTCACTTGATGCAACGCAAGATGCATGAAATGGCTGGCCCCAGCCTGTGAGCTCCCAAGGCAGGCAGTGCATGGTCTGCTTTCCTGAACCCGCAGGAACCTACCACTCTTCTTGGTGCCGAGAAGGTTCTCAGTTGGCACTGAATTAAGACAGATTTGTTTCCCTAGAGCAAGGTAAGGTTACTGCCCAACGGGACCAGATTCCTTCAGGGGCAGGCAGCAAATTTCTCAAGTGATTCATGCACTTGCACATCTAAAAAAAATCTATCCTGTGATTAATGCACAAATTCCCTCATCGAGACTTTTCCAAATGACAACCACATGTCTCCTCACAGAGGGCAATTAGTGGTCCCTCCGGGGTCTTTGCAGGAATTAGATCAAGACACAGATCCAGCCTCATACCAAGGTGCGGGGCTGGGAAGTGGAACACAGGTTGGACCAGCTCTCCTTCACCCCTCAGTTGGTTGAGAGGGGCCAACCTGGCCTTATCCACACAACGACAGATTCTCCTAGAGTGTGTATTTGTCCACACACTCGTGTGTCCACGCTCTGGTCTCTTGTTTCACTTTAACTATTCTTAAATGAACACAGCTTGCTCCTTCCACTGACACAATTGCCTGCACCAGCCGCCAGAGCAGCGAAGGGGCCATGACCCAGGGCTGCTGACGGATGGGGAGGCCACACTCAGCCCCTGGAATGGCCGGGCCTGTCCACCTACCATCTGCACACTTGACAAGCAGAGACCAAATAGCTAGGACGTGCCAGGGCCCTGCACGTTTTGGCAACACAAAACATCAGTGCTCAGGGCCTTCTGCTGAGGTGGTGGCGGCAAACATGCAATCGATTTATTTAGGCAACCTCCACCTTCAGTCCTGGCCTTGTTTCCTCAGACACTGTTCCCAGGGGCAGCGAGCAGGTCAGGGGTGCTTGGGTGGGAAGATGCAGAGGAAGAGAGACAGCCTGGCGCTGCGGGCTTGCAGGGTAGCTGGTGGTTCCCTGTAAGTTCCTCACCACCCATCCAGCGTCCTGTGCTGCTTTGGAGGAAGAAAAGCTCAGTCGATGTTGTGCACATAACAGTGACGTCACTGAGATGTTGCAGCGGAGGCCTGAGGCCCAGCAGTGTTTCCCTCTGGGGTGCCACGAAGGATGCCCCTGGGGTACGGGCGCCAGACTGCCTGGGCTTCCGTTTCTGGGTGATGAGACCAACACTGGGGACCATAAATCTGTCATCTCTCAGAAGACCCCAAAGAGCCACGTGCTCCTGCCTGACCCGGGGCCTCCCTGCAGACCCACCTGCTGGGAAATCTCACTCAGTCCTTCCCACTGGAAAAGCTCCCCTTCAACCCCCACCCTCACCCCCAAGACCCACAGCATCCCCTCAGCTTTTCCCCAGAGGATGTAAGAAATGACATTAGACTCGCTCAGCTTTTCTGCAAAATCATCGTGGGTAACATTACCCATAAGGCTGCTCGGTGTCCCCAACAGAAAATTGAATGCAGTTAACACCTCCAGAAGTTGAGGCCAGGAAAAGTTTCTCTCCCCTGAGCCTCCTTGTCTTCCCATTTTTAATCCAAGAAAGGCCTGATGTCTCCCTTTTTGCTTCATTGCCTGGGAAGAATTCTAGTGCTAAGTAATGTTCTCGATTAGAGCAGCTTCTGTTAGCCTAGATTCTGGCCATTTACACACACTGTAGTCATCTTTTCTCTTAGTCTCCTTCTAGAAGCAGATGGGGGAACACACCTACAGCACTGAATTGATTCATTCAATAGTGCTGCTCCCGAGGGGCTACTGAGTCCAGTCAGGGGTGGGAGGGGGAGGAGGCAAACCCTGCCTCTCTGGGTCCAGTCAGGGGTGGGAGCGGGAGGAGGCAAACCCTGCCTCTCTGGGTCCAGTCAGGGG